TGGGGTGGGGGGCAGCCAAAATTTTTTTTGCTTGGGGCGGCAAAAAACCTAGAGCCAGCCCTGCATCCCCTTATAAAAAATCTACTCTCTTGTTTATGTTTGACTTTTAAGAGGGCTGTTTTTGATTAATTTCTTTGTACTATGTTGTACAGAACTTACGTTTTACAACCTAGAGGTTGAGATGGCATTTCATAAACAAACATTATTATTATTTGTATCATTGTAACGGTTGGGGGGCCAAGTCATGGACCAGGACCCCACTGTGCTAGGCACTGTACAAAACACAGAACAAAAAAGATGGTCCCTGCCCACAGAGCTTACAATTACTGATTTTTTTAATTATTATTTGAATTCTTGCTATCCTAAGCTAGGCAGGACGTTTATACTATTTAATATCTAAAATGATGATTTCCCATCCTTTAGTCAGATTGATAGTACTCAAAAGAGATATATGTGTTTCTTTTTCCCACTTATTTTTGTTTGATTTTTAAAACAGTTCAGTAGTTATGAGAACTGTATAAGGTACCAGCACCATAAAAACAGAGACCTATGTGTATTGAAGAAGAGTCCACCTCACCGAGAAAATTACCAAGGAAGATACAAAATCAACACAAAAAACAGAGATGCTTTGTAAGCCAGCTGGTTGGGTGGTGTAGCACACCGATCAAGCTGAAGAGGGCTTTGCAAACTAGAACAGATGCAATAGTGATTGAAACTGCTGGAGGTTTGTCCTCCAGCATTGTTATGATTAATAAACATTTATGCAGTGCCATAATTCTGCCACAAAGAATTTTCCATCTAAATTAGACAAGCATAGCCCATGAAGTTAGATAGTGGAGAGGGGGTGGTGGAAAAAGGAGAGATGAGGGTTGATTATTATACAGCAAGTGACTCTCATAACTTCTGATGCTTTTAAGTAGAGACTGAGTGAGACAGGACAAAGGGAGGAGTAGAGAGTACACAGCAAGGCAAATGCTATGTGTTCTGAGGAGGGAGGATGGCAAAGATGCCTGATACCCAGGAAGAGGGATACTGTATAGGGGCAAGGCAGGAAACAATAGGAGGCAAAAGATGAAACATGGGCAGGGCGCAGAGCTGTTCAGAACCATAAGTGAAGATGATTTTGATCTTGACACAAAAAGAGACAGGAACTTGATGAAGGTACTCTGGGGGTGATATTACCAGAGAGGTGGGAAAGCAAGTATATTTGAGCTACTGAATGGTGGATAGATTGGAGAGGAGAAAATAATGGACACTGGAAAGGAGGAGATTAGGTATCCAGGCAAGATGCAACAATGGTGTGAACCAAGATTTTGGTAGTAGGGACAGAAAGGAAAAAGCAGATTTTAGAAATGTTAGTGTGAGAAGTTTGGCAAGAAACTGGCTGTTAGGAGAGAAGGAAAGGGAGGAGTAATAGGATGTGGTACAAGCAAGTGATCTGTTAGTTCTCCGGATCGTTTTGTGCCACTAATTGTCAGTGAAGCATCAGCACTCTGTTTCCCAGAAGAGCATACAACCTTCCCCACACAGCAGTATTAGCTGTTGGACTAAAGATTTACCTCCTGCTTCCAACATTAACCCTATTTTGGAGGAGGGTTGTTTTAATCTGCAGTGAATAGGCAGGGCTGCCTGTTAAATAATGGAGGAGTGAATCATGTTGGGAAATTGTAACACATTGAGAACAGAACTGTATTGCTAGGGCCCTACCAAATTGATGGCCCTGAAAATGCGTCAGAGACCATGAAATCTGGTCTTCCCCAGTGAAATCTGGTCTTCTGTGTGCTTTTACCCTATACTATGCAAATTTCACAGGGGAGACCATTGTTTCTCATATTGGGGGTCTTAACCCAAAAGGGAGTTGCAGGGGGATTGCAGTATTGCCACCCTTACTTCTGCACTGCCTTCAGAGCTGGGCGGCTATTGTCCAGATGCCCAGCTCTGAAGGCAGCAACCTGCCAGCAGCAGCACAGAAGTAAGGGTGGCAATACCATACCATGCCACCCTTACTTCTGCGCTGCTGCCTTCAGAGTTGGGTGGCTGGAGAGTGGCAGCTGTTGAAGGCCTAACTCTGCAGACAGCAGCACAAAAGTAAAGGTGGCAATACTATACCATGCCATCCTTACTTTTGTGCTGCTGCTGGCGGCGGCGGCTCTGCCTTTGGAGCTGAGCTCCCTGCCAGCAGCCACTGCTACCCAACTCTGAAGGCAGTGCCGCCACCACCAGCAGCGCAGAAGAAGGGTGGCAATACTGCAATCTCCCCCTACAATAACCTTGTATTATTACTCCTCCCCCCACAACTCCTTTTTGGGTCAGGATCCCTACAATTACAACACCATGAAATTTCAGATTTAAATAGCTGAAATAATGAAAATTTTAAAATCCTGTGACCGTGAACTTTATCAAAGTGGACCGTGAATTTAGTAGGGCCCTATGTATTGCTGATGATCACTTAACAGGCCAGTTGCACTACAAGAGAGAGAACCTGTGTACATGTGTTCTGTGATTGGAGGGGAGGGGGGAATATACCTGGGGCTTTTTTCCTCCAAGAATCCATATTTTGCAGATTCTTGATTGAGCACTTTTGCTATTGTCTCGTTCTCTGATTAAATACACTTCAAAGTAGAAGGCAGTAACACTTCTGTGTAAAGGCAGAGTGATATGCGCTTCAGGACTATTAAATCTTCTTTGAATAGCTAAGAAGTGTCTTGACAAACAAGCTATGCTGATGCCACAAACTTGTTGTGTGCCTCTGGGCAAGCCTCTTAACCTCAGTTTCCCCATGTGAGCTGTCTAGTGAGGCTTAATTCACAAAGTGCTTTGAGATCCTTGGATGGAAGGTATATTGTTTTATTGTCATACTGATGTTCTGGCAGAAAATCACTTCCCTACATAATATTCCACCCACCCCACGAGTTTTTCAGGGTTTGCCGGTGTTCCCTTGGCTCTGATGTAATGGGATGGTTCCTGAGTGTGGGACATTCCCCAGTACTCACTGATATTTCTAGGTCCACATGCAGATAGCATTCTGTGCTACACCCCCAATTGCTTTGTGACATTCCTAGGCCCAGCCCCAGGTGCCCAGTGACTAACCCGGGCCCACCAATGCCACCCTGTTGTTGCCACAGGCTGACGTGCTGCCAGACAAACCTAGGTGCAATGCCCAGAGCCAAGGGCACAAGGATCCTTATGAAGGTGGTGAGCCCGTGCCAAGGTGGGGGGGTACAGGGAGCTGGGGGACAAGGCGGCACCCGGACTGCCCAGTGAGGGGGTGACACGGGAACTCTATGCTGGCAGGATGCCAGCTTGGGTGGGCGGGACCCAGCCATGGAGGCGGTGACACTGCTAGGCACAACACGGGCATCCCCACCTAGAGCGCCCCAAGGCGGCCATGACACTTACCGTGGCGGAAGCATCGACTCGCCAGACAGCAGCCTTGGAGGGACCCACTCTCCGCCTACGGGGCGCTACGTGCGCGCTCGCCGGGAGGCTCGCGGCATATTGGTCACGTGGCGCATGGGTGCTTGCCGCGCTAGCTGAGTGCCGAGGGAGCTCTATGGTTACCGGCGGGCCGGGTGGCGCGGGTTGGCGGGGCTGGCAGCGGCGGGGCGGTTGAGCTGCGGGCTGTAGCGGCAGGAGAGAGCGGGGCAGCCATGGCCAAAGGTACCCGACGCTTTGGGGGGCGGGGCTGGGGCAGTGGGACCCGGTAGGGGGTGAGGGGCCGAGGGGTAACGGACTCGCTGAGGGGCTAGGCTCCTGGGGGGGAGGTGGGGGATCCCTGTGGGGGGAGGCGGGGCTGAGGGGCCAGGCTCCTGGGGGGGGGCGTCTGAGGGAGGTGGGGGATCCCTGGGGTGGGGAGAAGCTGGGGGATCCCTGGGGTGAGTCTGAGGGGCCCTGTGTGGTGGGGCTGAGGGCTAGGATCTGGAGGAGGGGGTCCTGTGGAGCCATGCGGCTGGCGACACCT